GTGAAATGAATGAGAAATTAGCAGAAGAGAACAATTTTGGTGATAAAAGCTATGAGAGCGACTGAAACAGCAAAGAAAAGAATGAGAACCCTGTTGAAACGAATGAAAACCCTGGTAGGCCCTGACGAGCTAATGATACTCAGAAACTAGGAGAATATTGCCATCAACTAACCGCATTTACATATCCGAATCATTATTGCTGTCAAGTTTTTGTGACAAAAGAACAATCTGTGGAATTGTTGAGCAATGATTACAGCAAATCGTCATGATCAGTGAATTGTTGAGTTCGGAATTTCAATGTTTTTCTGAAATTATGTGTCACTTACGAGCATACAAATGCGCGTGGCTTGAATCTGATAAGACTGAAATGAGATTATGTCTCAGGGTCGATATAGTTCATAATTAAAGTTGAGCATACCAATTTATTGATAATAGAACTCAGCTGAACTTCCTCATTATGATTTTAACATTTCACCATTTCCCGATGAAATCATCCAATTTCGAATGCATTTCTAACATTCAATTTTAACGGCATCGATATTCACATTGAAATCGAACAGATACGATAATAAATCATCTTTCAAAGGTCGTAAAAATGATCAATAAAACGTCAACGTTTTTGATCATGTTGAGAATCATTTCATAATATTTCTCTCAATCGATCATTCGATGAAACCACTTTAAAACATAAACGAATTCTTGTTTTTTGTTTGGCTGATTAGAAGTGATGGAGAAAAGATTAAGAAACTGAGTGTAGGTGGCTCACACTTCAATTAGATGCGGTCGGTGTAAAAGAAAACAAATATTCACGATGAAAACAAAACAACGAACTGCGATGAGAAACAAGCAAGGTGTTGCAAACGAGATGTTGACACGATTATTTAATGCTTATTGATAATTTAATCAAAGAGATGCATACAACTCATTGACACTTTGCTGATCCGTTCACATTCATTTCAGTTTGCAGTTTTCGATAATTAATGGACTGTTGACTGCTCATCGAAAATTTTTGGAAGAAAATAACACGAACAGAAATTATTTTAATCGAGAAACACACGCGCCACGTCGAGTGCACAAAGTCTCGAGTCCGTTTCCGAAGTTTTTCTGCATTAGTCAATAATATCTGTTCAAGCAAATACCATCCACTGAAATATGGTCGTGAACGTTCCATCATCAATTTTACCGATTTGCAGTCGTCACGACGACTGAAATCATCTCGGAACGCCGGAGAAATGATCAAGATGAACTGACTGATGAGCAAAGTAATTGCTGTAGTATACTCAATGGTAGCGTAATAAGCTGCAAGCACTGAACGAACAAATGAATAGATCAAACCCGTGACTCGTTTTTGGCTTAGTTATTGATATGGACACCAATATGATGCTATCGTAATCATCTGTATCATAATTGCCTCCTGTCATACGCTTGATGAAACAGTCTCTGGAAATAATATTCACAATATATGAAACCGAAAACATTTTGAGTGGAGGTAGAAGTAGATCCCCGTGAAAATGACAAAGGAGAATCGTTCTCGTTATGCTTGCTTCAAACATTCATTCCTTTTCCGTTGCATACTGCAGCACATTCATTTTACTCGTTGTTTTCTAATGTCGAACACATAATGCAAAGGTGACAACCAGATTGTATGGCAATATTTTAATGAAGATTAAAATTTCAGTTCGGAGCGGATGTGGCTGAGCGTAAACGTCACATCGATTTGGCAAAAGAGGGCTACTTGCAAATCCCGATACCGATCGATGATCTACAACGATGGTGGGATGCTGATGGTTCTCGCAATGATTTCTTGGGGCTCTATGTTGAGGCACTCTATAAGGGCGAAAATTTAGCTGTACATCCACAACAGAATACCAAAAACGTATGGCACTTGTTAATGATTGTTGTCATTTTGGTGTCATATTATACTTTCAGTTTGTTTTCATTCATCAAACGATGAATAATCGTTCATCCTTCCTCCAGCAATCAGATAGATGTTTATTATGCAAGCAGTGCATATTATGCAATCAGTCCATAATCAATAATGCATATTATGCAATCTTTGATTATGCAATCAGCAAAATAACGAAATAAAATAAACAAAATCAGATCAATAAGATGCACTGTGCCATCCATCTATTTCAGCA